TTACATTTGGGAAGAAGCACAACACAGGGACATTTAAATTCCTTCCAGAACTCCAAGAAGTTCATGAAAATTCCTAAATCAGGACTGACTGCAAGTGTTAAATCCCCAGGTCAGGAATCTACGGAAGGATGAAATCTCTGACCTTGGTAAGGGTGAAACTCAGCACAAACAACTCCCATTTCCAGCCCCGCTGTTAGACAACAACACTACGTCTGCTGGCTGAGGTGCAGCATCCTGAGGGACTGGAAAAGGACAGGGGATTTTTCACTGCATTTGCGTGAAATCCAAAGCTGAAAGAAAAATATTGTTTATGCTGAAATTCACGACAAAGCGTTGCAGCCCCATTAATTCCATCTCCAGCCATTTAGAAAACCACAAGTCAGGATCCAAAATTATCATCAAACTGACTTGAAAGAACTGCTGGAGAGAGGTTACTTTTTTAAAAAAAAAAAACTTTGAATTTCAGCATTCCTGTTTGCAAGTGCTCTAACCCTTTATGTGTCAGTATTTTCAAGCTCATATTCTGGCGCTACCAATAATTCCAGGAGCAAAATGTTTATGGAAAAACACCGTGCAAATACGGCATGAACTGCAGACAGTCATGCTATACACGAGGTCAAAAAAACATGACCCTGTGTTTTTATTTATAAATACAGAAGAAATATAGTAAACATGTGATTACAGCAATTAAAATCTAGCTTGGATTAAAGAAATCCTCTTAATTTTAACCATGTAACAGACTAATACAGCATAAACAAACACATTTTTAAAGTAAGATCACAATTTCCCTTTTTATTAGAACTGAAGAAAGATTTTACTACTTCCTACTGCAAAACCAATACAAACACTAATTTAAATATTGCCTTTTCAGCTGAATTTTGAATACTTATGAAGACTAAAACAGATACCTTTTTGCCACTGAAACTGACATGGCATGAGACCTTAATATGACATTTTTTGAGTACTTCAGAGAAAAATGGGGATTGTTTATACAAAAAGTGGAGAGAACTGGCACATTACCTATTTTCATAGCATTTTTTTTCATATACATTGTATTTGTCACCAAAACAGCTCAGTGGAACACAGTGTGCAGCACACATTGTGCCTTGTCATGAGCTGACAGCAAATGAAGAGAAGGTGAACCAAGTTGCAAAACAAAAGTATTTTTTTTCCCCTTCTCGCCGCCTGAGAAGATAAATGATCTTAGTTATATTAAAGACAAATGGGATATGGGATCCAAAGGGCTCATTTTACGTTAACTGCATCTCACCAACAAAAATAGAGAAAGCAATTTCCTGGTGCATCAATTCCATGCCAGCACTTCCATGTACACTCTGAATTCCGAGGCACTGGCACACTGTGCACCTCCGGGTATCCTCACATCTCCAGCACGTCAACTGCTCCCCAGCAATTTCTTCTATTAAGGGAGGGCTCCCCCCCCCCCCCCCCAAAAAATACAAAGGTAAGGTGGATATGCCAGTACAAACCACCACGGCTGAATAAACATCTTCCTGTAGGTAACACCGTGTCAAATTACTCCTGTAACCAACACAAAGCACCAGCTCTCTCTCATATGACGTGTGTCACCACCCCAGTTCTTTCACCACTACAGTGCCCCTCACTCCTTTCTGTATTTTCTTGGTATTTTAAGGCCAGATTTCTTTCCTCACCCACAGCGGTCAGTATCTGGAAGTTCTCATCACTTCGGATTGCAAAGAATTGTACCAAAAAAGTCAAGATGGAAGAGAAGCTGAAGAACATGAAGTATCATAAAGTACTTCTCATCCATTTACCGGACTAGACCAGCATAAAACTGCAAACCTCATCTTTCCATCCTCCTTCTCATGTTCTGTATTTATAGGGTATTAAAATCCTCCTCCTCCTAAGCAAAGACTTGTTTCTAGTGCAACACCAAAGCAGTTTTAAATATCTGCGTACAGTCCTCAGCATTATAAAACCCTCTCTTCCTCTTCTCGACCCAGTCTCGTTGATCTGCTGTTATTTAACTCTTGAAGGCTACTTGAGACTCACCACGTTACTAAAGGTTATGTAACCCTTAAAAATACACTAAATTTTACATTTTTAAGCTCTACAATAGAAACATACACAACAAAGCACAGTTGAGAGGTTTTTTCCCACCCCTCCTCCACTTATTCTAAACCAAAACATCTCAGGGATCTAGAATAGATTTTTTTTTTTTTTAACCAGCTTGTCGGCCACAAAACCTTTAGCAGTGCAGAAAACAGTATAATGAACATAAGCCGACAGAAAGCACTATGTCCTTTCCTCTGTGGCTTCCCACTGACCCTGCCTGAGTTGTCCATTGCCTGCAAAGCTGAAAGCTGCTGATCTAGAACCAAGTATCCTCTTACTGGTTGCTCTGCCACCCGAGAAGTTGCATTAAAATGGCATCACGTTCCTTAACTCCAAACTGACTCGCCTTTCTCCACATAACCTATTAACAACCCGTCCTCCAGAGCGTCTCATAAAACCCTACTCCCAGGAACAACCACCCAAACCAAAACACCATCGTTTAAGACGCCTCGTTTTGCCACGGATTTGAACGTGGAACAAGTCCTGCACACAGAACACTGCCCAACCCACCTATAAATAGGCTCAAAGCTCCAGGCTCAGGAGACTGAGAGCTCCACATGATCCTTGCAGCGTTCCCCGGCTTCACCTACATAGCCGTGCCGTAACACTGCCGGGCTGGGCAAACACCGAGCTGCTGCTGTGGCTTATGCAGGAGAGCACGGAGGGAGGGGAAAGAAATAAAAAAAAAAAAAAAATCGAGGGAAAAAAAAAATAAATCACTGGGCATAAACAGCTCTTCTCGGGAGAGAAACACCTCCCTCTCCGGAGGCCAGAGCCAGCCACGGACAGGCTGTCACAGCTCGGCCATGACAGGAACAACAGCCAGGGACAGGCCCTTCAGAGAAGGTTTAATAGGGCCAGGGCCGAATGGACGCTCATGGTGAGCCAGGGCCTGGGGGCAATGGCAAGCGGGTCCTGGCCACATTCCATGGACAGGGGGGATTCAGGGTTGGGTAGGCAGCCAGAGCCAAACCCAGTCAGACTCCTTTGGAAAGGGGGCTTCAGGCTCCTCCCAAGCTGGCAGCCAGTTCTGTTCCCCATCAGACCGCACAGACAGGGCAGCTCCAGACCCCCCTGTTCCCAGTCCCTTGCCCTGGACAGGAGGGCTCCAGGCCCCAGAATGTCACCCTATCAGATCCTATAGGCAGGACACCTCCAAGTCCCCATCAGATCCCCCCACCCCCAGACAGGAGAGCTCCAGACCCCCATGGAACCCATCAGACCCCCAAGGACAGGAAAGCTGCAGACCCCATGGTCCCCATCAGAGCCCCATAGTCCCTGTTAGAGCCCCAAGGACAGGAAAGCTCCAGACCCCATGGTCCCCGTCAGACCCCCCAGCCCCGGGGCCACGTGACCGGCCCGAGGCGCCGGCACGTGGCCCCGACCGTAACAAACAGGCGGGTGGGCGAAGAGGGGCGATGGGGGGGGGGGCCGAGTTGCGCTGCGATTGGTCGGTAGGGCGCGGCGCGCGCCGGGGGGGCGTGTCCCCGCCGCGCCGCCCCCGGCGATTGGCCGGCGGGGGGGGGGGGGGGGGGGGG